TATTGGTTACTACAATCTCATACATGCAAATATTTAGAATTTTGAAACATAGAGGGATCTAGAGAGCCATCTAGCTCAACCTCCTTATTTTACACTCTTGGCAACTGAGAGCCAAAGTAGTCATATCCTTGCTTAAGGTCACACTGCTAGATGTTACCCAAGTCGACTGACTCAAAATCCAGTGTGTTTGTTTTTTATATATTTATGTTCCCTACAAAGGAAAAAAAAAAAAGGCAAGAAATAATGCCATAGAAGACCGAGAGTAATTTCACTCCTTTGTGCAAGATCATTATCTGTCATCGTACCTTATACAGTTTTGTAATGTTTGTTTACTTGTTTAACTTTCCCCATTAGCTGTAAGTTTCATGGGGCTAGGAACCCAGGTCTCACTCATTTTTGCAGCCTAAGTACCAAGAGTTACATTGAGCTTATCACTGATGCTCAAATCTATCTATATATCTACGTACTTTCCTATCCATCAAGAATTGATAATAGCCCTAGCTGGTTTGGCTCAGTGGATAGAGCATCAGCCTGGGGATTAAAGGGTTTCAGGCTCGAACCCCAGTAGGGGGCGTGCAGGAGCCAGCCAATCAATGATTCTATATCATCATTGATGTTCTATCTTTCTCTCCCTCTCCCTTCCTCTCTGAAATCAATAAAAATATATTTTAAGAAAAAAAAGAATTAATAACATATTGTCACTATATCCTTTAAAAATGTAAGGAGCATGAAATTTTATAAAATAAGAATACAATTGTGCACTTCATGTGTGACCAAAAAGGAGACAAGTTTATTAATTGAACTGTTTTTTCTCACCTTTCCATTGGAAAACCACCTATCTCCATTTTCCACCACTTGACCCACTCTCCCTCAGCCCCAGAAGTTCATGACTAAGGTGTGGCCAGTTCCAGTTTGTCCTCACCCTGACCAAATAGGCTGGTTTAAGGACTTTCTGCTGGAACCACTGAGAAACATGCCTCTTCTTCCTCTAGAAACTTGAGCATTAATGTGTAAACATGATATAGATTCAGAATACCCAGTGGCCATGCAGAAAAAGCTCTTTGAAAAATAAAGTTGGTAAATGAAAGAAAGCAGAGATAGAGTGAAACAGTGGTGTGGTGTCATCAAAACCACTGGATCTACCATGGATTGAAGGGTCCTGGGTTCAATTCCTGGTCAAGGGCATGTACCTTGGTTGCAGGC